CACTGGTGGGGGGCTCTAATTTAATAAAATATTTCCTCTCGGAGTGGGTTTTGGTGGGGGGGGGGGGGGGGGGGGGGAGGTTACAGAAAACACTTTTCCTCCTGTGTGCTAAACTTTATTTTGCCAATAAACACGTGCACAATAATAAACATGTGCTCAATATAAACACATGCACAACAGTAAACACGTGCAGAACGACGCATAACGACAAGCCATTATATAGATACAGATAAGGTTTTCTGCCTATTCTGACTTTTCCAGTCCTATGCTTTCCTGGCTATTGTGTAGAGAATTCTAGGGCTATCTAATGATATATTTACTTTGTCACCTACGTGAAAGAAACATGCCAAGTACACATTTTAAGTAACCTATAACTAATTTTTGAAGGATGAGCTATTGTCCCAGCGAACGTAGTTATTCTGGACTATGCACAACTGAATGTAGAAAAACTCACCCATTGAATTTCCATGATTATGGCAAAGACTAAGCCGCACTCAGTTGAAAAGGTATAGAAAAACCATTAGGAATAAATACCAGAAACGAATAATAGATATCTTTATTATTTTTTTATCATTTATATTGTGCGTAATTATATTTTATTCAGATATTATTTAGAAACAGTTTAATTCGACAGACAACTATGAGATGCTAAAATTCGAAAATTTCAGCAAATTGTATTTTCAATAGGCTGGCCAGATCTTCTGATTTTGAACACTTTTTCTGATGGCTTTTTGGTTTCTGATTTTCCTGATTTTCATTTCTTCTGTTTCAAACGTGCTAGTTCGTTCTCATATGAATGTCCGAATTATTACTATTGATACGATATTATCCACATGATATCTATCTACATAAAACGATAATACAGTTCAATAAAAGGACTGATAAATTATACGTTGAACGAAACATGTTTGTCTAGTTGCCGCATTAAATCCACTTTCTGATTTTTTTCTGATTTTGATAGGGAAATTTTCTGATTTTCCAATTTTTTTTTCTGATTTTGAATTTTTTCATCTGGCCACCCTGATTTTCAACATATTTATACATGGTTGGATAGAGCAATACATATTTCAAATATTTCTGTTCATTCGATTGAAATGAAATTCAACTGTAGCAAAGAATGTGGAGATGCACAAAGACAAAAATACTTTAACAAATAGTTTTCGACGGAAAATGTTTTTTTTTAAAAGTTCTTGTTTAGAAAATTCGTAACTCGTTAACCAAACGTTACCAAGGCCCAGAAATCTGGATTTTTAGGTAACTTTAGATGGGAAATCAAATATGCATCGTTAAATGGAAAATAAAATTTGACCATATCATGTACTTTCTTAGCGCTCTCAAGGAACGTCTTTTAAGAGAGTATTCGCCAACTCATCATAAATACCGTGAAAAGGGAAACAACTTTTTTCTAGTAGCACTTGTATCTTATTCTCCATTATTCCAACTTAGAAATCCAAAATTTTAGACCTTGAAACGTTAAACTTACTGAGATATGAATCTTTTAAGATGTAGGGAATTTTTCGACAAGTGACGCTTTCGATAGTTTCGTTTTTTATCGTCAAATTTTGTTCGTTTCAAAAAACACTTCGATTTTTTTCACTAAGTATAGAACCCGAAGCCTTCAGAATTTGTTCGTAAACTCAGTTTTGTATGCTAAACCGAGTGAGACCAGATTTAGAAAATTTCTTTTGACCATGTTATGACATTTTCATATTCTCGCAAGCACGCTTTTTTATTGTTTAATAAAAGTCCTAGTGCCTGTAATTGTCGTTTGACAGTGGAAAAAGTTTGCGGTATATGAAATGTGATATCTTGCTCTATAAGTGGGAGATGCTTTGTCTACAAAAACTAGTCTAATTTATAGAGAAAAGTTTTTCATCGAAAAAATCGACATGTCTATACTATTCTGTTTTTCCAGTGCATCACTTTGATCCTAGAGTCTCATAAACATAAACTAACTGTTACTCAATACTATTCGCACATAATTCTGGTCTAACCATATCGATCAATTTTTGCTGTCATTAGCCATGGATAAAGTTCTTTTGTATTGATGTGCACGCGTTTTTCTCATATTAAATAGTTCTTCATTTTTCAATTGACCAAGAACAACAGATGATTCTTCACCCAATTCCTCATAAAAATTTTTTAATCTTGTTGGCAGATCTTGTTCGGTTGCGGAAACAAATTTCTTTTCATCCACTGTTGTGGATTCTGAGAAGGCATTAACGGGATTTGCATTTTCAGCAGAAGTAGTTTGAGCTGGAGCAGTAGGATTATCGCTGACGAACACAGATTTAATTTTTGTTAGGAAGTCACTATCGATAGCAGGCTTAGCTGTCGAAATTGAAGTTTGTAAAGCAGTTCCGTTGTCCGCACTGGCTGTGGTAGTTAAAGTAGTTGTTGTCGGGACAGACGTAGTAGCAGTAGTGGAAGAAGGGGTAAATATTCCTGTAAATAACTTAAGTATACCGACATCATCACTCTCCTTCTCTTTTGCTGGTGCTGCTGCTGAAGATGTGATAACATCACTTTTTGTAGCCGACGGAATACTAGAACGGCGGTCGCTGCCGAATAATCCTTTAAATTTGGATAACAGATCACTGTTTGCACCAACGTTTTCAACGCTTTTTCTTTTCTGTTTCGATATATTTTTGATTTCAGTTTTTATCGGTGCCGAACGTGTAGTAGCAACAAGGTTATCATCCAGGTTCTCAAAACCACCATCTTTTAGTGTGTCATTTGCATCATCTATATTTTTTGCTGTGAAGGGAGAGCTCAGTTTCTGGAAGAAATTGGTCAAAAAGTTACCTTCTTCGGGCCTGGTCGATGTGACCGGTGTTTCATTTTCCTTTTCGATTTTTGTGCTACCATCAATCGTCATGCCGTTCACTTTGCTTTTATTGTGGTTTTCTAAGATCTTATTTAACTCTTCTTTCTAATAATCTATAAAGGACGTCTTAGCATTTGGGCACTCGAGACATTCAACCACAATAATATTACCGATGCAGTTCCTAAGTAAGAACGGTAGGTATTACAAAACGCACAACTTGTGTTTCTACTTTTACTGCACTGATATTTCTACTGTCGTACACCTCTACATGAAAACAATGATACTCTAATACCAGCATGTAATTCTGCGGGGTAATGAATCAATAAACCGTCTTTGCAAGCATGGTATTCCAAAACAAAGTGATCTTTTCGTTATCGTAGAGACGAAATACGGTTTTCAAAAAATAGTGATGCTCGAGATTAATTCATAAGACGGTATGAAACAGCCTGTGAAATAAGAACAGATCAAATAGAATAATGATACTAAATCGACCAGAACCTATCAGGCGCACATGATCAGACAGGCTTTTTTTTTAAGCGAGTTTGGTATTCGGACGGGTTAAAACATGGTCAAACACAGAGCTGGGCAAGTCATTTTTAACTTGACTTACCTTGACCTCGGACGTTTTTGATGACTCATGACTTGACTTGACTTGTGACTTGGCATGAAAATTCAAGTCAAGTCATGCATATTTTTAAACCGCAGCAACACTTGAAAGTACTGTTATTGAAGGAGAACAAATAGTCATCGCAAGACCAAAAAGAAAAGGATTATTTACCAATATTGAGGAGAAAGATAATAAGAAACAAAAATCAACTTTTGTTTCATCAGAGATGAAATGGTAAAATATCTAAACGATGAAAGTTGTGTCAGTTATCTTCTCTTTAAGCAGTCATCGAATTATAAAACGTTGAGTAAATTAGCGAGTAAAATATTGTGTATTCCTGCTACTTCTGCACCTGTAGAAAGAGTATTTTCTCAAAGTGGCTTCTTATTTAGACAACATAAAGCTTCTATGGCTAGAAAAACTCTTCAGATGTGAACTATGTTGAAATGCAATAGGAACTTTATGTAAGAACAAATTTTTTATTAGTTTTTAGCGTGATATGATATAGTTATGTTAGCTTATTTTATTCTTTCTTAGCTAAGTGCTCGTGCTACGTGTGTATTATTTACGTGTGATTTGTTTTTGAGCTATATTAGGCTCATTAGAGCATTGTCTTTTTTATAATTATCTTTTGAAGCATATATTTTTGTGAAATACGAAAAAAAAACATCGTATCTAAATAAAAAGTCGAAGCTCGTAGAAAACTTGTAACCTGCCCAGCTCCACTGCGGGCATTTTTCTACGAAAAATAAAAATTCCAAGTCATGACTTGTGACTTGACTCGACTTGGAAAACCCCGAGACTTAACTTGACTTGACTTGAGAAAATTTTTTATTACTCATGACTTGACTTGAGACTTGGAAAACCAGTGACTTGCCCAGCTCTGGGCAACAAAAGTTTTGTCTACGAATTATCTCATTCGACTTAGTACACAAAACTGATATTATAAAAATGTTCAAGCATTAATAGCTTATAATTATGGAGAAAAAGAATTTTACAAACAGCTGGTACCAAACCGTCTGCACGACTATCTTACAAAAAAATAAAGAGCATATTTATAATCAGCATGAAAAAAATGAATTAAACCACATATTGTTTAACGCTTTCCAGAAACTACACATTGCTTTTGCAAATTCTTACCGAGATTTTCGTTTATTTGTTTCGTTGTATCACATTTTTCAGCCTGATGCTTCCCATCCGAAGTTTCCCAGATAGGTCTATCTCACGCGAAAATGTCCGTACTGTAAAATGGACATATCAGTATCCATAAAAAACGCGACCTGTGCTCGAAAAATCGAATTTATGCTGAAAATTTATTAATATATGAATAAACTTTGTTTTAATTCTTCAACTTATCTTCAGCTGTTTCGTCACCAAACACAGCATTCTACTCAGTTCTTACTACTCTTTCGAGCAGAATGCTTTTCAAAGATTGCAGATTTGATTTGCTTGAAAAATTCGAAAAAACTGCAGATGGTGCTGTATCTCGAAAAACTACATAATCTGTTGTTGTTCAAGAGTGGTTTTTCAGTTACGTTGTGGTATTATATTTTTTGCTTAAGAGTATCCTCCTCTTGGAAACAAGCTTGGAAACGGAGCCGAAGGCGGATCGGATTGAAATTTATACCGGAGATAGAACATCGAGAAAGAAAATCGAGGTATTTTGGACCAGAATTTTCTGACGTGTTCTGCTATAGGTTTTCTCGAAAACTCCAGTTTCCATCAGGCCACATAAAAGAATGGTTCGATCGAGCTCAAAGTTTTACCACAGATACTTCAGACTCCACCTTAGGTTCGTTTTTTTCTTTTCAAAAAACATGCTTTCCTTCTCGAGATATCCGAAAAATGCTGAAAGTAACGCAAAAAAATAGTCAGGTTTTTCTATCACCATTTTTTCGAGGGGTTATAATGTGGACTGATGAAAACTGGAGTTTTCGAGAAAACCTATAGAAGAACACGTCAGAAAATTCTGGTCCAAAATACCTCGATTTTCTTTTTCGACGTTCTATCTCTGCTGTAAATTTCAACCCGATCCGCCATCGCCTTCTCCTGTTTCCAAGAGGATCAGAAAAGAGAAGAGCGATACCCTTAACTGTTCTGTGTCTTGAACTGAGTGAGATCACTGTCAGACATAAACATGTTTTGACTCAGGTCTGATCTGTCAGGTACTTGCTCGATACGATCATATCGAAACCCTTTTTTCTGCTTCGTAAATTTGAGTCTTTGAGCCAGTCTCTGCGACCGATTCTAAAAAAAGTTTTGTACGTCTTTTAAGTATATTCCCATTGAAAATAGCATCTGGATCCATCAAATGCAATCGTCCATCTGTCATTTGACTTCTCGAACCTTCCTCTATCGTTGGACTACGGCGGTGATGTACTGTCAGGTCTTCTTCTTCTTCATTTGCATGAC